AGGAACATTACTAACAAATTAACATAGAAAGTAACTGGAATGGAAAAAAGATGTTTGACAACACGCAGAAGAAGCCTTTGATGATTGGACATTACTAACAGTTTAATCTAACAGTTAATACATCACTCAGCTTTCGCTTTCTCCCACTATATACCCTCCTTATCTTTCTTTTTAAGCGAAACTCCTCCCCTTTTTAGGGGAGTCAATAAAATCTTTATATAAAAAAAAAAAAAGATGTCCCAACCCAATAATCAATATAAGGAAAGTGACAGGCATCAGAATTCAGAAAGCACCAGCTCTTTTGGAAGAACCTCTGCAGTATTCCTCCCCCTCGAACAAGCTCGGAAGAATAGGATATGGAGGATAAAGGTAAAGGTTCCCTTTCTCGAAAGCCAGTCGAATCCGACTCTAGGGTTGTGGTGCTCATCTCTGTTTCAAAGCCGAAGAGCCAGTGCTGTCTGAAGACGTTTCTGTGGTCATGTGGCCGGCATGACTAAACACCAAGGCGCATGGAATGCTATTACCTTCCCACCGCAGTGATACCTATTTATCTACTTCTAAGTTCTTGCTTTCGAACTGCTAGGTTGGCAGGAGCTGGAACTAGAGACGGGAGCTCACTCCGTCATGCGGCAACTCGGGTCTCGAACTGCTGAACTACTGACCTTCCACAGCCTGCAGTTCAGCGTCTTAACCACTTGAGCCACCGCAGCTCCATATGGAGGATGTCCCACCCTGAAATGGTTTGTCCAGTTGTAGCCCAAGGCCTATAGCTACAGTGGGGCATTTGGGGGTTCTGCCCCCTCAAATGTGAGGCACGCCCCACAACAGCTGCTTCCCCTCCCCTCCCCTCCCCTCCTGTGACATTAAAAGTGTCCTCCACTTGAGGGGGGGGAACCATTTAAAGCCGGGGTGTCAAACTCATTTGTTAGGAGGGCCGGATCTGACATAAATGAGACCTTGTTGGGCCGGGCCATGTGTGTCATAAAATGTAATGCCAGGTAGCAGAGATATAAACTTTTTAAAGGATGCAGGCAAACACAATTAAAGAGATTTTAAAAACTTTAAATAACACATTTCCAGTGAGTTCGACACCCATGGTAAACAGTTCCCTTTAAAAGGTGTTTTTCAAGTAGGGGCTGCCCACACCTGATCTCCAAGCAGCAAAATCGCCACTTGGAGTTCAAGGGAGGCGTGCGGCTACCCTCCTCTCTCTCCCATCCCCGGCCGCCCCACAAAATGTCCCCATGCCCACAAACCCCAGAATTTCTGCCTACAGGGCTGTGTAGCCCCGTCCCTTCATTTCGTTCATTTATGCCATGGGGGAAAGGAGCGCAGTTAGGATGCACTACAGTTCCCCCCACCCAGGGCTGGCGGCAGGATACATGGAGGCAGGGCTTTTTTTGTAGAAAGAGCCCAGCAGGAACTCATTAGCATAACAGACCACACCCAACAGCAGGAACTCATTAGCATAGTAGGCCACACCCCTGACAACACAGCTCATTAGCATACTAGGCCGCACCCCCATGTTACCAGAAGTGTGGTCATCCAGCCACACCCACCTTTTGGTTGTTATTCTGTTTACCTTGTTTGTTGTCAAAACCCAGGGCCTTTTTTTGTAACAGGGACTCCTTTGCATGTTAGGCCACACACCCCTAACGTAGCCAATCCTAATGAGTTTCTGCTGTTGAGCGTGGCCTATTATGCTAATGAGTTCCTGCTGGGCGTGGCCAACTCGGGAGCTGGAACTCCGTTCCTGTGCGTTCCTGCCCAAAAATAGCCCTGCATGGAGGCAGGGTGACGGCCAGGGGCCTGGGCACCCTCCCCCACTCACTTATTTGCTACTGCTCCATCATCTCCCAGTACACGCACTGCCCGGTGCTACTGGGGAAAGGACTGCAGGCAGTGGGGGAGCGTGGAGAGCAATGCTCCCTCTAAGCTGTGGGGTCTTGTGAGCAAAACTTCTACTTTTTGCACTACTGGCATTAAAGTTGTGAGCGAGCAATTGGGCTGCTGCATCAATTAGTCTGCTCTGGAGCCATCCTTCCTGAGCTCAGACAAGAATGTGTGAGCCGGAGGCTACAAAACTGTGAGCTAACTCGCACTAACTCAGCTTAGAGGGAACACTGATGGGGAATGAGAATCACAGAATCGTAGAAGAAGAAGAGAAGAGATTGGATTTATAACCCGCCCTTCACTACCCAAAGGTGTCTCAGAGCGGCTTACAAACTCCTTTCCCTTCCCCTCCCCACAACAGACACCCTGTGAGGTAGGTGGGGCTGAGAGAGCTCTGACAGAAACTGCTCTTTTTCGAGAACAGCTCCTATCAGAGCTACGGATTCCCCACGGTCATCCAGCCAGGTGCAAGTGGAGGAGTGGGGGAATCTAACCCGGTTCTCCCAGATTAGAGTCCAGGCACTTAACCACAACACCAAACTGTAGTGTTTGGAAGGGACCTCCAGGGTCATCTAGTCCAACCCCCAGCACAATGCAAAAAATTCATAAATACCTCCGCCCCACACACACCCAGTGACCCCCCTGTTCCATGCCCAGAAGATGACAAAAAACCTCCAGGATCTCTAGCCAAACTGGCCTGGAGAAAAGCTGCTGCCTCACCCCAGAGGGTGTAAGAAAGGG